TATATAGCTAGCTAGCTATTCAGAAACGCAATCGATGCTTTCACAGTGGTATATATACTTACGATGTTGCCCTCTCGCTAGTAGACTTGTGTGCTCGAAGTAGTGCTGAACTAACAAACATAACGCAGAAGTGTAATTGATGCTTCTACTGTTCTTGTTTAACTGCTGTATTTTCTACGGCGTCGATTAATGAGCCTTTTTTTGTTTCGATTTGATCTGTCTTCATTGCGCTGCTCAGGAGTAGCGACTCGTCTCTCAGCTCCGGGCACTGGGCGAGCACCTGTTATCTTGGAAAGTTCTGGTCAAGGAAATGCTGGCGCGCAGGGTGGCGCAGGTGCATTTGTCATATGCGAAATCTGCGACGGTTTCATTAAAGATCTCGAACAGCTGCGTACCCACATGCAGTGGATCCACAAGGTAGGGCGCAGTGATAAAAACTGTAGTATAACTTTATTTCGAGAAATGCACGGCTGGTTCGTAATACGTGTACACAAGATAAGGTCAGTGTTTTAAGTGAATGAACACATCGAGACTTGCCAAGGTATCGCCATATCTATGTGTAGGTCAACTGAACAAATGAATATATCTAATCGTCTGCAGTCGTGTTTCACCAATGTGGCATTTGAGTCAGGTCCGATGTGACCTTTCAGTAAATAACTGGTAATTGATTCTTTCGAGTATCTCTAATGTGAGTATACCATTTTTTCTTTCCGTGTTATCTGGCCTTTTTTCTTTCTTGATTACAGGTGAAAATTCACCCCAAGATGCTTGCAAGTCGACCTCCTCTTAGCTGTCAAAAGTGTCAGTGGCGCTTCTTCACTGATCAAGGCCTCGAACGGCATCTGCTTGGCGCACATGGACTCGTCACCTCGAACATGCAAGAGCTCGCTAACAACACCCAGGACGGCGGCCGCTGTACGGTCTGCGGGCGTATCTATGCTAGCAAGCTGGTACAACATATGAGCCAGGTTCACAGAGTGATGCTAAAGCCCGCTCATCTCTCATACAAATGTACAGTGTGCACAGCAACCTTTAATCTGTACCGTCTATTCGAATCACACGTTTACTCCGTGCATTCGGGCGCTATGAAACGCGGTTCAACGAACACGACAGATCAGAGCGCTGCAAAACGGAACCGCCGAGACGATGCCAGCTCGAGTAGTGGCCTAAATTTGACTACAGCGAACTCGAATAGAGGTGGTGGTGGTGGTGGTGGCGGCGGCGGCGGCAGTAGCAGTGTGACCTCTGGCGACACCGTCTACCCCAAGAGCTGCGCGCTCTGCAACGGAGCTCGCGTCGACGACTTCCTTCAGCATCTGGCTGATAAACATATGCCGAAGAATGTCAAAGTCGGCGTATGTCAAATCGAAAAGTGCTCATCATGTCTAAGCAACTTCGACGGCATGGTCGTGATGAACTCGGATCTAGGCGAGAGCTCATCCTCGGACGACGACGACGATTGAGCTAGTAGAAAGCGCTAAAGCTGGAAGTAGTACAGTGGCTGTAGCAGCAGCAGCAGCAACAAAACGACAGCAACCGCTACAACGGAGAAAGGCCGAGGGAACAGCCGGTACCGGTGGTACAAGCCTGATACAGATAAGCACGTGCATACTAATCATGATGTAGATGAACATATTATCAACATGTACGTGTGCGGACGGCTGACGCTATACGTTACGTTATATCAACGTTAAGAAAAAGAAGACAACACGCCGACGCACAACGATAATAAAAAAAAAACGATAGAAGGAAATCAGAGATGGAGGGAAAGGAAAAGTAAAGAACAAACATGGGTTCGTAACATTAGCTATGATAACCAACCACGGCAGGCGACACACACAAAAAGACCAAAAGCGGCGCAAGCTACAGATTTTTTAGACTGAAGCAAGAAACACGGACGCGGACACTTGCTGCTACTAAATGGGCAAACTATTTATGGGTGAACGAGCGGTGAAATTGTGAATACCAGAAATTGACCGTCCGTCTCATCTCATCTATTATATTCCAGGCGATAATTCACGCAGGTCTGGAAACTCTACCGCGTACGACGCGATTGTCTGTCTAATCTACTAATATGTATGTTGAATACTATAGCCACTATTGATTCTCGCCTAATAAAAGGAACCGGACTGCGATAGACTCGTTCGGTTCGATGACGCGTGTGTGGTCGTTGACGAACAGGCTGCGATCCGTCTGCAGCGATTTCTTTATCACCTTTACTTCTACGGATAGTAGCAGCTAGTGTACCGTTGCTCACACACTGTTAACGTATTGTTGTGGATCATCAGAAAATTAGATCGTCAATCAACGAAGAGCAGCCACTCTGTAGGCGCTCTGTCATTTTTTAAGAAGTTGGATTGCCATGTGCATATATATATCATCTATATATATATATATATATATATATACACGCAACCCAAACACGCCGCGAACAGCGCGCCGCAACCAGGCTGCTGGCCTGAGGCAGCAGATTATACTGGAGTAATTTCTAGAAGTGTATGAATATAGAGAAAGAAATACCCATCGGTGGATTCTACACACAGATGAGCGAGAGAGCCCAAATGAGTGACTGACAGCAGAAATAGGCAGATGTATGAAACTACCATTAATAATATTAGTAAGGATACCAATAATAACAATAACTAATAATAATGACATAGTCGTTTGGTCTAAGTACATATTAGTTTTAGGAATGTGAAATAAATGTACGAAATAAGATTGTGGCGGGTTGTAATCGAAATAAGGCTGACGATTATGACGACAATTGTAGTAGATTAAGATAGAGTAAAGAACGGAGAAAACTAACTGAATTGACTGATTGATAATAGGTGAAACGGTGACGATAAAAACAGATAATTGCATGCAAAAGAAAAATACGTAATTAAGTTAATTTAAGCAAAACTGATTCGCACTGACAATACTGACTAGCGGAACCGCCGCAAACAGAACGATGATATAATGATTGACTAAAATCAATAGCTGTAATAGAAATAATTATAATGAAATGTGTGTTGTCGATGATTGACGAGAAGATGAAATGTGACGGAGAACTGTCAAATGGCGCCATCAGCGAGAAGCACGAAAGTATAGCGTGGTGAAGATCACGACTATGACGACAATTCTATGAATTATAACCATAATAATTATAGTAATAATAATGATGATAATTATATTACTACTGCGATAAAATTGAGATCATGATGACAAATCGCAAGAGAGTATATGATGACAGACGCTATATGTATATATATACATATATATATATATATATATATAAGCCCTTCGGCTTCTATTCTATAGAGAGAACTCTATTT